TCTAAAATATATGGTGCCAATTTTTTTTCCAGAAACGAATGCAATATTCCCTTAGTGACTACGTATTGATACATTCCGCACAGCCGAATGTACAACAAACTTTATCACGGGATTCACTGTCAGACGGGAGAAGTCCTGGGAAGACTTTATTTCTATATCCCAGTCAACCTTTTCCTATTTTTTCTCTGTAGTATTTAATTGTGATATGTTGCAATGCATAAAAACAATCTTATAGTTAAGTGAACAATTTCTGTAAATGTTTTAAGAACAGCTGTAGTTCATTTGACAATATGTCACTTCTTCTCTGAAATGGTCCCATATTTTTCAACAAAACTTTTTGGAAAATTGTGTGATTTGTAATTTACTTTTTCTCTCATTTGTGTTTTCAGTTTCTGATTTGTTATTTACTTGTCTTCTGATATGCTATTTAATTGTTATTTTAATTGTTCTCTGATATATTATTTAATTGTTCTCTGATTTGTTATTTAATTGTTCTCCGATTTGAAAAGTTTTTTAATTTTTCTCTTGCTTGTTATTTAATTGTTCTCTGATTTGAAAAGTTTTTTAATTTTTCTCTTGCTTGTTATTTAATTGTTCTCTGATTTATTATTTTTTTCTAATTTGTTATCTATTTTTTCTCTGATTTAATGTTTAATTGGTCTCTGATTTATAATTCAATTATTCTCTGGTTTATTATCGATTTTATCTATGTTTTATTTTTTTATTATTTGTTATTTACTTTTTCTCTGATTTGTTATTTACTATTTCTCTGATTTGTTATTTAATAATTCTCTGATTTGTTATGGAATATTTCTCTGATTTGTTATTTGATATTTCTCTGATTTGTTATTTAATATTTCTCTGATTTGTTATGGAATATTTCTCTGATTTGTTATTTATTATTTCTCTGATTTGTTATATAATATTTCTCTGATTTGTAATTTAAAATTTCTCTGATTTGCTTTCAAATTTTTCTCTGAAATGATTTATTGTAAGATATATACCGTGAAAAAGAAATTTCATACTTAAAGTGAACAATTTCTGTAAATTTTTAACCACAACTGAAGTTCATTTGATAATATGTAACTCCTAGATTTTCTGAAATGGTGCCATTTTTTCCAACCAGACACAACTGCAACTTTTTTTTTGGTAAATTGTTTTACCAGATTAACTTTTCTATGAATAAAATAAAAAGGGTTACTGGATAATTAAATTGAGAATGGAAATGGGGAATATGTCAAAGAGACAACAACCCGACCAAAGAGCAGATAACAACCGAAGACCACCAATGGGTCTTCAACGCAGCGAGAAAATCCCGCACCCGGAGGTGGTCCTCAGTTGGCCCCTAAATAAAATTATGTACTGGTTCAGTGAAAATGGACGTCACACTAAACTCCAAAACATATAAAGGAACTAAAATTGAAAAAAACATACAAACTAACAAAGGCCAGAGGCTCCTGACTTGGGACAGGCGCAAAAATGCGGCGGGGTTAAACATGTTTTGTGAGATAAATCTTTTAACTATCGTTTGCACAGAATAGCATTAGTCGATCATGATTTAATTTTCAAATTTAACATAAGTATAGGTTTAAATAATTGCAAAATGAACAAGAGAAATTAAAAACAAAATTAAAAGCAATACAAAAACAGACAACCAAAATACAAAAGTATATCATGATAAATTTAGTATACCATATTTAAGTTGTAAACACATGTTTTTATTGATTAGTATTAATAGGACCGTCAAAACAAATGTTTATCAATATCTTGCACTATAGAAATAGCGACATATTTTTTTTCAAAATACTAGATGGTTGCACCTTAAAGCAGCCGTCAGATATTTTTTTCCAGGACAAAATATGCAAATTTTGACTGCGAAACAGAGTTTTTTTCCAGTTGATTACAAAGGGTTATATGTTCATGTAAAACCCGCTTACACGGCAATAAATATTACAAATCAGGACCGAATTAGTAATTCCACTTCCATACATTGTTACACGTATAATTGGAAGCAATGAAAAACCCAAAGTCTCAATAAACTTTAACCATATCGTAGAAATAGATACACTTAAACGTGTTACTCAGAAATAACTTTTTACACAATAACCTTCCTGTTACACATAATGATACCTGACACTCTAGATTGTCATAAATTGTTAGTGCACAATACACGTCATTTTTGTCATTCTAAAAATGTGTCAAGGTATTCACAAATTTCGTCCTCAATAATGACCTCATAATTTCCTAAATTCTCATGATTTCTAAGAAGAGCTCAATGAATAAAAAAAATCCAAAAGTTTATATTCAAGACAAAAATCCAAAAGTTTAATATTCGAAGAAAAAAAGCTTTCTTGTTTGTTTTTTTTTTAATGTTAGAAATCATGTCAACTTTACATTGCGAAAGTTTCCTTCGTATACGGAACCAATTTTGTTTGGATTGCATGAAGTAGAAATCGGCTTAAAAGTGCAAAAATATCGGTTATATTTTTATCTTTGATCCAGGACAATATTTATCAATGGTTAAGGGACAAAACTTAGCTAGCATGATAATGCAAAATAATTACATCGGTACTGTTAATTCGGATCAAATTTTATGTACATAGTTTTAATGTTATATTGCACGTGCAAAATCGTCAACCTGGGAACCTGGTTCCTTTACAAGAAGACCATTTTCCAATATTTTTTTCTTATTTCTTTCGCTTGCTAAGAAACCTCGAATAAACTTCATATAATTTTATATAATTATCTGTCCTACATCCATAAATTATGGAATATAAATTCATTGTTGATTGCCAGAAAATACAGTAGTTAATTACGTTACGTTATGTTGGCTCTTTACTTCTTTAGAACTCTATGTCTACATAAAAATAAAGAGATGTGATATGATTACCAACGAGACAACTATCAACCAGCATATATATTGAACGCCACAGCTGTCTTATGTGGAACTCTTATATTACGTTATGTTGTTTTATTATTACTTGATGATATGTTGTCTTTCCATAATGATGTTTTGATATAACTCAATATGGCATAGTCATTACTTAATGATATTTCGATATTTCACGATATGGTTTCGTATTGACTTGATATAGTTTTATCATTACTTGATATGGTTTTGTCATTAATCAATGTGGCTTTGTCATTAGTCGATGTGGTTTCGCCATTATTTAATGTGGTTGTTTCATTAGGCAATGTGGTTTTTACATTACTTGATGTGTATGTGACTTAACGTAATGTAGTTGTTTCATTACATGATGTGGTTTTGTTGTTTCGTAATGATGATTTGCCAAACTCTAAGTTTAATTCGAAACTTTAATTTAAACTCTTAGTTTAATTCGAAACTTTAATTTAAACTCTAACTCGATGGATGCATGGCCACACTCATCCAAGGCACATAAAACATGGAAATCTATGATCTAAAAATAGAACTAGTTTTTTCCGAAATGGTCACGTGGTTTTACCTCCACCACGTAATGTGATAACCACATCAAAGAATGAAGGCAGCGGCTATTGTTCCGGCATGCCGGAAGAATAGTACCAGAGCTATTTGTCCGGCTAGCCGGAAGAATAGTTCCAGAGCTATTTGTCCGGCTAGTCGGAAGAATAGTACAAGACCTATTTTTCCGGCTAGCCGGAAGAATAGCTTCAGTGCTATTTGTCCGGCTAGCCGGAAGAATAGCTTCAGTGCTATTGATCCGGTAGCCAGAAAAAAATATATCATTAAAGCTATTAATAATATCACTGCATCTATTTGTCTGACTAGCATTCATAGCCGTGATGATATTCTTTATCTTTTTGTAAGGCTATCTAGTAGGATGGACTAGCATATATCTGATATTTCTCTCTGCTAAATGATCTGAATATGATCATGTCTAGATGTTTATGGAAACTAAAATGTGTCTATGAGATACAGTATGGCAATCTCCTTATGTAAATAGATCTTAAAAAAAATAAAAAGTTGCACAAATAGAGAATATACAAAGTATAAAAAGTGACCTTTCTATTGAATGATGAACCCTATTGTTCTATATAAGTTCTACCCACTGAGTATTCTGAGAACTTGACCTAACCTCAAAAACTTTACCAAGTTGCTTGAATTTTGGTCAAAGTGACCTTATTAATAGTGAGGTACCAAAAATCTATCAAATGATCCAAGAACCTGTATCATTGTTATACCACATGAATAAGATGTGGTATGAGTGCCAATAAGACAACTCTCTATCCAAGACACAATGTAGTTAAAGAAAGCAATTATAGGTCACAGTACGGCCTTCACCACAGAGCCTTGGCTCACACTGAACAGTAAGCTATAAAAGGCCCCAAAATGACCAGTGTGAAACAATTCAAACGGGAAAACCAACGATCTTAATTTATATACAAAATGAAAAACAAATGAGAAATGACAACCACTGAACAACAGGTCTAGTTTCTGAGAAATTGACATACAGGCAAAAACTTAACTTGCCATTTACACTGTCATGACCTTGGCTTAAAAATGAAAAAGGTGTTTTTTTTTACACAAATCAGTAAATTGAACTTAACCAGTTGCATGTCTGAATCTTCATTTGTCAACAACACTCAATTCAAGTGCATCATTCTGAAAACTGGATAATTTGTGTTGCACCAAGTACATACCCCCTATTCCTTGATTCTGACTTTATCACAAATTACTAGTAAATATATACTGAATGTCAGTTGTAGCTTTGAATATTTGAACATGTTGGGTTGATGTCTTATTGGCATTTATCCCACATCTCATATATATTGTTCATTATAATTATATGCATGGTGTATCATAACTGAATAACTTTTGAAGTAACAATCAATATTTCCAAGAAGTTAAAATGCATGGAATAGTATTTTTCTGACCAGAACAGATTTTAAAAACAATACACTATAAAATCAGAGGTATAAGGCACATTATAGCAATTAAAACTATTTGGTAAAAATTTAAGTCAGAGCAACATAATTTTAGGAATATTTTTATTTTGCAACTTCATTGGCACATTTTAACAAAGATATAGAAATAATTGTAAAAGTATAACGCATGTTATAAGTCATAATAAGAACAATAATTTTATTATCTACATAAATTATTATCAGGAATGTGTACATGTACATTTACTTCTATTTTCTTCCTCTAAAACTCTGAAATGACTTCTGTCTCTGTATGAACCCTAACCTGCAACTGTCTTGATATATCAATCTTAATAAAATGATTATCTCTTAAAGTTAAAAATAATTCAAGGGCAATAACTGTAAAATTTGACATGATGACAATTTTTTTTTATTTAAAAAAACTCCAAGTAGGAGCCTGGCTTATTCAAAACATAAGTAGTCAAATCTAATAAAATTTGCAAGAATGTCCAACTTATAATGTACAATTTAAAGATATGTTTACATGGCAGGCCCATCGATTTATTAACGTTACAATTACATGATTCAGTGCAAAGTTCTATCTCATCATCCATTAGTCTGCTATCTGTTGATGTACCATTAAGATTTGTAATCTGTTTGGCTTTGGAAAGTTGTTGGAGAACAAATTTACAAGCATAACCAGTCAAATGATTTAAATACTTTACTTCTGCAGATTCTGAATTTAAACAAGCTGTCCGGACGCTAACTTTCATTACTTCAACACTTCCTTTGTGGTCTCTCTCATTCCTCACGGTATTTATTAATGAAAGAAATTTTTCAAAGAACACCTCAAGACACGAATAGAGATTTATAACCTGTTTTAATTTCTGATTAAATGACTCCAATCTATTGTTTGTAGTGTTCATTAAAGATCCATCACATAACTTTAGTCCGAACACCCATTCATGTCTTATTTCATGCCAATTGTTAATGATATATTCATTAATCTGCCTTGAACATTTACGTTTAACTTCTTCCAAGGATGCCTCATAATCTGTCTCTGAGTTACAATAAACTAATTTCTGTAAGAGTTCTAATGCTGTATGTCTCTGAGCTGAAGATATCCCCATTTTTTCGGTAGTGATTTCTCTATTAAATGACCTTAAAACGTGGAACTGACAAATCAACAGCATTGCATTTGGTAATTCTGATTTGAATACATCTCTCTCATTTATGTCTTTATCGGCCATGATTACTTTTGTTTTTCCAGCAGCTTGATTATTTTCCTTAAAGCAATGAATTAGTTGCTGTAAAACAGCCCTTTCCTCAGAATTAACTAAAGCTATAGCTGCTACCTCACTTTGGCCTAGACTGTCTTCAACCATCATTACATAAAATGGCATCCTCCTGTCATTTAATTTGTATGTAGCATCTACAAATATAATCTCTGGGAAAGTTGCAAAAACCCTCTGCATTTCAGCATCCTGGTAAAATAATGCTTGGAGATTGCTGTCACCATCATGGAAAATTTCAACTTCTGAACCTGCAAATATAAATTGTCTTTTAAAAATTTATTTTACAAATGTACTTTGCTACACATATTATTGCTTAATGGTTTTCTTTCAGAGAACAACAATATATAACATATCATAATTTTTAGGCACATACTCACGTTTTTATGCTACATATATAAAAACAATGCCTTTCAATCCATGCCATAATTTGTGATATTTCATGATTGGGGTCTTGATTAATATTGATATTCATTATTGCACAATATATGTAGATTAATTCTAAAACATACAGGTATTGGAGTTAGTGCATGAAACGTTTAAATTGCCTTTACTGAAAACGGAGTGTTTTTCCGAAAAGACAAGTAACGGGCGTATAAACAGATACAAAATCACTGTAAAGGGGGCGGATAATTAGCTCACGATTTTCCCTTGCATTTCACAATCTAGACTAAACAATACACTCCATGTATTTAATGGCAGATATCATTCTTTACCAGTCACTTTCAATTTTTGAACAAGTTTTTCGAGGTTATCAGTCTTCTTGGTCTTGTTGACTTTGTTGACAATGTTGCTAATGTGCTTCAGAATTATTTTCTTTCCTGTCCTTTCCTCAAAATGGTCCCTCATAAGCTTGTTGCTAACATTCAAGTTAACTAGTTTTTTTGCTTCAATGACTTCATCATCTGGGAGTCTCCTCTCCCTAGGTAGCAAGGAAAACAACCCCTTTAAAAGAAGAGAAATTGCTTCATTAACTGAAATATGTATTTGCTATCTACCACATATTCACTTGCCTATTAGTTAAGCTATTATAGCTTAAATAATAGGCAAGAAGTGAATATGTGGTAGATAGCAAATACATATGGGTAAGTAGATCACCAAATTCACCATGTAGATAGATACAATAATACATGCACATATATATAGTTTATGAACAGAAAAATGATTAAGTCAGAAAAAGTCCTGCTGTCCAGTTTTATTGAATAAAATGTATATGACTAACACTGCGACTAACATGATAATTTAATGACTTTTTTATAATTCACACTCTGATGCATATAACACATATTGTGTAAATGTACATAATGATAGTGAACTTGGAAAATTTACTTCAACCTGCAAGTTAACTTGAATTGGAACGAACAGACATCATTACGAAACAACAAAACCACATCATGTAATGAAACAACTACATTACGTTAAGTCACATACACATCAAGTAATGTAAAAACCACATTGCCTAATGAAACAACCACATTAAATAAAGGTGAAACCACATCGACTAATGACAAAGCCACATTGATTAATGACAAAACCATATCAAGTAATGATAAAACTATATCAAGTCAATACGAAACCATATCGTGAAATATCGAAATATCATTAAGTAATGACTATGCCATAGTAGAGATTTCCAATAAAATGACTTTACTCGACATAACCGACCTAACTCAACGTATTTCGTCCCATTGCATTGAAGCATGACGGAGGGGGGCATAAACTGCATGCATTTTTTGCTCTTTGAACACGCATTTTTTGTTGATATAGACTTAATGTAAACTACTTTTTTTAATCTTCAAATATTTTGTTCTTAAATTTTGAATGATTTTATTGACAAAAATATTTTAATGGAATACGTAAGCTAGCAACTTGTAATCAAATACACCCATCATTTCTTGTCATTTCACTGTACCCATATTTCAGTTCTTCTCAAAATATGAATTTTAAAAACTACCAAGTAAGAATTTAGCATGAAAATATTAAAATAATGAAATCCGAAGCGAGAAGGTTATCTCTTTTTATGTTTTTATAAGTTTTAACGTTTAAAAGTAGATTCCAACACACCCGAATGTAAAAGGTGTACGCGACTTTAAAAAAAAAAATTCTATAATTTAATTCAAGATAATTTGACGTGGGCAGAAATTCACATCATTGATACACTTATCAAATAGTACTTTTTAGTCTTGAACTATAATAATGCATGGGACGAGGTTTTTGTCCATGTATACCTAAACATGCATTCGCAGATACAGGGGTAGAGGGCGTACTCCCCCCTTTCGATCGCCAAATAATTTTGAAAATCTCACGTTTTCCACGTTATCTATACAAATGTTAAGTATAAAATCGTCCATTTTTTTTCGCGTTGCTCCGCTCGGCAGTATCGGGAACTACGCCCTCTTTCAAATATCTTGGATCCGGCCATAATCACAAATTGTATAGCACCAAAAAAAAAATTAAATGATTGTCGTTTGACTTTGATAAATACGATTTAAAAACAACAATGTTTGAACATAAATTTAGACATCTCTCACGAGATTTAAAAGTTTAGGACTATATACTGAATTGGAATTTTTCCCTGATTTAGAGCTCACTTTACACGGAAATGTTATACTGGCGTGTAATCTAATGGACACATATTTTTTTTCTGATGTTTCTGTTAATATAAATATTCATTTATTTAGCTATATATAATTCCACTAACAAATAATCATGTATCTTTTACTGATGAATTATCATTACATTTTATAGAAACTACATATAATCTGATAAACAGTTATGAACACTAATAGTCCTACAGACACTCTGTGCTTTTGACATGACACAAGGTCTTGCTTTTCTCCACAGGCGCTTGGGTATATGATACAGAAATTTTTTTTAAATTTTTTTTTTGTTGATTAAAATATTCAATTTTCTATATTTATACTACATATCTATCACTACTGCGCATGTCTCACCTAGTTTCGAGTGATTTTACCAACTTTGAGACAAACCCCCATTTTACTATCCACACTAAGAAACTTGTGTGGATAGTAAAATGGGGGTTTGTCTCAAAGTTGGAACCCCCCCCCCCTTTTATTTTGACGATCAATGCATTTGAATGGGGACATATAGTACTGATGTATGTCTTATATCCAGCGACAAATATTACATATATATTAAGGATGATGAAATGATAATGATAAATGATTATACCTTTTTGTACATGAACAACACTTACAGTCTCATTTGTATATGCTAGTTAAATTAGCGTACCCGATACAAAGACACGCTTGTCTTTCTTCGATTAAACCAACACCTGCTCTTACTCGTGAATGCATCATGCTTGGTGGAGAAGCCGAAAAATCCAGTCTTAAAATCATTCGGTCAGGGGGTCCAACAAAATAATTGAACCCGTAATCGAGGCTAGCCTGCTACCAGTCAATCCCATATTTAATAAAAACCTGTTTATATATTTTATGCTTTATGTGCATATATTACTATTCTAGCAACACTTGTTTTGTTGCATAATTTGTTTGATTTTTCTCCTTGTTTCTGTGTATCAAAAAGCTTAGTTTTTATTGTAAAATGGTGTTTCACAGCTTCCATTATCCTTGTGACTTGCTATTGTATTAATATCAAGTAGGCATGCAATTATTATTCTAAATAGTATAAAATATTTTGTAACAAATAATGATTACCCCGTTTTGATCCAGACTTCCTTACTACTAGCATCTAAGATACATACACTGACAAAATATTGAACCCGCGCTCGTATTACAATCACCCTGTCTGTCCGTCCGCCAGTCTGTCCGTTCAACAAATATTTTCAATTTTCTCTTCATAAGCATTAGTATGCTTAGCATGCATTCTTTTTTCGATTTATTCCTTACACTCCGACATGTATATACCTGGATCCGTGTGGAGCGTCCTACTATCAAACAGAGTCCAAATGGCGTGAATTACGACAACAATGGCTCGTGCTGTCGTCAACAATAAGCAAATACTCATACCGTATTATCAGATACTAGTATATAAGGCATTGACTTTGAAAAATGTAAACAGTTCAACCGAAAATAAACATTTTTACAAGAGTAAAATTAACCCAAAAATGACAGAAAGTAACCAACGACATCCACTGAATTGAAAGCTCCTGACTTGGGAAAGCCAATATAGAATTTGGCCTGATTAAACGCGTTTACCAGCGCTCAACACTCTGGTGTAACAGCACAATATAAGAAAAAAAAACCTGTAAAATTCAGTTGGAAACAGCTCAACTAATCAATATTGAATTAAGCCCAAAACAATTACATTTTTATAATGAAAGACACAGAGTACCGATCTTAAAGTACCCACAGGTACTGAAAGATAATTCTTACATGTTAAATTACCTGATAATATTAAACGTATTTAGTTAAAAAAAAAAGTATAAAAAAAGGAGATATGGTATGATTGCCAATAAGAAATGAAGTGGATGTAAGCAATGATAGGCAACTGTACGGCCTTCATTAATGAGAAAAATCAATACCGTATAGTCGACTTTAAAAGGAACCAAGTTGAAAAATATGAAACAATTCAATTGAGAGAACTACCGGCTTGATTTAAAACAAAACAATTTACGAAAAACAAATATAACAGATATGAACCAACGTCAACAAGTGAACCACAGGCTCCTGATATGGGACAGGCACATAAGGAATGAGTGCTCAAGCCCCTCCCCCTAAGCCTGGGACAGTGGTGCAACAGCACGACATAAGAACAACCTGGAAAAACCTTCATTCAGAGAGCTTGGTTTACACATGGAATTTTTGGTCAGGACAAATTTAAGCCAATTACTATGTACTATAAATTGATAGCGGTCAATGTTTATATGCAGATTAGTCATCAATTGCTAATCAAGTACACCTTCCAAATTACAATCTATATAACGAATTGGTGTACACATTTATTTACATATATCATTATTAATTACAAAATTCCTTTTCCTTTTTTTTTAATGTTAGTTGACTTTCATTTGAAAGAAACGTGTATGTCAACTATTAAAATTTAAAGAAGTACAAGACCCGTATTAATAATTTTTAAAATATACACATCCCTTTGTCGAACGTTTTCCCTGGGAAAAAAATCGGACGTTGTAAAACAACAAGATTAACTGCAGAAGAAGAGAACGTTTGAAATGATACCTATTAAAGTATGATGCAATCCCAGTAATCAACTTTAACAGAGATAAATTCCGACTAACACTTTGAATTCGATATTTCTGAAATTGCTAGAAAAATCTCTCTCTCATAATAAATACCCACGGAAATTAAATATTATAAAACATTAAGAGACGAAAGGAAAAAGGGACACCAATCTGATAACGACAAATAAAAGCATGTCAAATATTAAATAATAAAAGGTTCATTTGCAAAGTATATCGAAAAACAAAGTCATGGTCAAAACCATGATAGACGACTCAAATCAATTGTATGATAGGTAAAGATACGTGTATATACGTGGTCTTATGACAGTGAAGTTTTAGCGGGAATCTCAATAATCATGATTTCTTTCGTTTTTCATCATCTTAGAAATACTTGATATTGATAAAATTTATCATGAATGGGTTTAATAGTTTAGGTATACTTAGTTAAAACTTAAGTGACACATTTAACAAAATTAATAGGTTAGCAATAACCGGTCCCGTTACGTGCGTACGTCGAGTTAGGTACGTATGTCATTTTATTGGAAATCTCTATTGAGTTATATCAAAACATCATTATGTAAAGACAACATATCATCAAGTAATAATAAAACAACATAACGTAATATAAGAGTTCCACATAAGACAGATGTGGCGTTCTAAACCAGAGTTCAAATGAAGTGAATGTAAGCAATTGTATGCAACCGTACGGCCTTCAAAATTGAAAAAAATCATATATTGTATAGTCAGCTATAAAATATCCTGAAATGAAAAGTGTGTAAC